CATACAGAAAAACCCTAGCCATAGCTGAGCCAGACTGTGGCCTTCTCTGGATCTGTCCCTGGTTAGTTAACTTTCCAGATTTCTTCTTAAATTAACTGCAGACATCAAATGGACACTAAATACATTATTTTTATTATTATTTGTATGTGGGTCTCTGTCTGAATCAGGCAGATGAAGTAGTCAAATAATGTGTAAGTTTATATAGGATTTTAATAATATAATCAGTGAGCTCAAATATATAGATTGGTAAAAGTATGTTCTCTCCGAACAGAGACTATTTAATTACCCATGGCATCTGTGAAACATTTATAAATATCAGTCATTAACCTGGGTAAACAAACAACTGAACAAATTCTTCAAAACAGAGATTTTTACAGGGAACGTTCTCCAACCAGAGAAAATGAGCCAAATCCAGGAAGCTGAATGACCCCTCCCATACAAAAAAAAGAGTCTTAACTACTTGGGAATTAATGAACAGTCATCTAAATCTCTAAATAAACCATTCATTATCTAAGATCTCTAGAAGTTAATAAAAGTGTCATTTCCATATAAAAAATGTATGGTACATAGCTAAAGGGGTACTCAGGGAATAATGTATAACTTTAAATTTAGAATTACACAAGTGAAAAGAGAAATATTCAGCCTCAGAAAAACAAAGGAAAAAAAAAAACAGCAAAACAATTCAAAGAATGCGTAGAGTAGAAACAGTCAAAGATAAAATGGTTACTACTAAAAAATTAGTTAGAAAATAATAAAATAAAACCCAAAACATAGGGATTACCAAGGAAAAACCCAAACTTAATATAGGAACATACATGTCCCTCAAAACTTTAAGTATAACTACACATGAGGAGGAAATGGCAACCCACTCCAGTGTTCTTGCCTGGAGAATCCCAGGGATGGCGGAGCCTGGTGGGCTGCCGGCAGTGGGGTCGCACAGAGTCGGACACGACTGAAGTGACTTAGCAGCAGCAGCAGCAGACATGAGGAAGAGCCAAATTAATTGTGAGAAAATGTATGGTACCCACTGAAAATACATTTGAAATTCTACAGAAAATGTATATTTTAACAAAATACAAATTTCAGAACTGATTTAAGAGGAATCTAATACTTTCAAATTGTGGTGATGGAGAAGACTCCTGAGAGTCCTGTGGACAGCAAGGAGATCAAACCAGTCAATCTTAAAGGAAATCAACCCTGAATATACACTGGAATATTGGACGTTGAAGCTCCAATACTTTGGCCACCTGATGCAAAGAGCTTACTCATTGGAAAAGACCCTGATGCTGGGAAAGATTGAAGGCAGGAGGAGAAGGGGACGACAAAGGATGATTTGGTTGGATGGCATCACCAACTCAGTGGACATGAGTTTGAGTAAACTCCGGGAGTTGGTGATGGACAGGGAAGCCTGGTGTGCTGCAGTCCATGGGGTCTCAAAGAGTCGGACACAACTGAGCGACAGAACAACAACAATGGCTCTTAACAAACCAATAAGCAAAGAAGAAGTGGGAAAGTTTTGAAAGAGGTAAATAGATTTTGAGTTAATGATACAGGAATAATCATGTGTTTTTATCATTTCCTTTTCTCATCACTCCAGTGAAACAATGGCAAAGTTTTAAAACATGTAAACTTATGGCAATGAAGAGATCATGAGGGAGCCATCTGTACCTTTGGGATTTCAACAAATTTATCTGTCCCATATTTTCAATTTCCCCTTGGTAAGTTTGCTTTCCCATAGAAAGAAAGAAAAGAAAGTGAAGTTGCTCAGTCGTGTCTGACTCTTTGCCACCCCACGGACTGTAGACTACCAGGCTCCTCTGTCCATGGGATTTTCCAGGCAAGAATACTGAAGTGGGTTACCATTTCCTTCTCCAGGAGATCTTCCTGACCCAGGGATCGAACCCGGGTTTCCTGCATTGCAGGCAGACGCCTTACCATCTGAGCCACCAGCTTTCCCCTACTAATAACTAGCTAATTCTTTACTGACAATAGAGAAGCATCGGAGGGAACCACATCTACGCACCTACTTGCATCTGTACTTCTCTTCCTTGGCTCCACTCAGGAAACTGAAAAAAGTGGCCTTCTTCCTATCAAAGACGAATTTATCATTGTGTTCAGAATTCTTTCTTTCTTTTTTTGTATTTGGAACATGAGTTGTTGTTTTTTTTTATCTTATGAAAACATAATAACACATTTACAGGAGACTTGGAAAATAGAGAGCAAGGTTGTGTATAGTTCCACTACATACTAGTTACTTTTTCCTTGTTTATTTACTACAACATTGTTTTGGGTTGCCTTGGGTCTTTGTTGCTCTGTGCAGTTGTGCTGAGCAGGGGCTGTCTTGGATGCGGTGGCTCCCCTTGTTGGGGAGCACAGGATTTAGGTGCTCGGGCTTCAGTGGTTGCAGCACGTGGGCTCAGGAGTTGTGGCCGCCCGGCTCTAGAGCTCCGGTTCAGTAGCTGTGGCACGCAGGCCTAGTTGCTCTGCGGCATGGGATCTTCCTGGATCAGGGATCAAACCTGTGTCCCCTACCTTGGCAGGCAGATTCTTTACCACTGAGCCACCAGAGAAGGACCCAACAAGTACTTCTTGTAAGAATTACTTAAAACATATGTGAAAGAGCTCTGAAGCTATTAAAAAGTCCCCAAATGGAAGATGTGCACATTAAGATACTCATAATTTCTAATATCAGTAAATTTTATACTTTATTAATAAAAATTATTAAAATTCCATTTGTTACATTTTCGGTAACTAATGACAGTAAATATATTTAATATTAATCTTTTCATCTATACCCTTCTTGCCGTTCTTTCTCTCTTTTTTCCTTATTTGTCTTTTTCTACCACTTTAATCTTACCTCTCACATACAATGTCAGTAATAAGGTCAGTACATTTTTCTATTAAAATTGGTATCTTGGTCTTAGTTCTGGCCTAATTTAAACACTAACATTATAGATGCATGCTAATTAGTCTGAGTGGCCAAATCTCTCACCAGTTAAGCAAATGGAGACATTTCAGATTATTTCAGCTACCTGGTGTTAAGGCTAAGAGAAAAATGTGTGTTATTTCATGGTAGAGCTATTTCTTATCATTATGGTATCATGCATTCAACATGTTCCAACTTTTTGCACTCTGAATTTAGATGTTTGTACCATAATTGCCACAAACTCTTTATATTACACTTTAATGTTGAGTTGGGTCTCTGTGAGGGATAATTTTCTTTGTCCAATGATGAGTCAGTTTAATTTTAAAAAAAAGTTGATACTATATGTAGAATAGATAACTAGTGAGAATCCATTGCACAGCTGCCAAGACCTGTGGTCTTGGTGATCAGAGCTCTCTGGTCACCTAGGCGGGAAGGAAATCCAAAGAGAGGATATATGCATGTGTGTGGCTGACTCACTTTGCTGAAGCAGAAGCTGACACAACTTTGTAAAGCAACTATCCTCCAGTGAAAATTAATGAAAAACACTCCCTTAGTTCTTTGTATGAACACACATGAAAGCATTTTATGTTAACCCCATCATACAGAGTGTCTTCACTTTCCAGTCTTAAACTTCCAGATGGACTGAGCCCTAAAAGTTCTCCTGTTAATTATCTGTCAGTAATCTGGACGTGTTTACCCATGTGAATAGTATTATAAAGGGGTGATTACATTTCCAGGCTAGCCCCTCATGTAGTCAAACACACCTCCAGTGGTATTAATCTAAGTTCTGATTTCTGGAGCAGGAGGAGGAGGAGGAGAGGAACAATGGGGAAGTGGTATATCTGGGCCAAAGGTAGAACGTGGCAAGGCAAGAGAAAAAAGAGAAGGGCTAGAAGGAGAAAGCTTTCCCTGGATTTAGGCCTTGTTCTAAGCAACAAAAACCTCAGTGCACTTGGTTTTTGTGACTTCCAATTTTCATTTCTGCACCCCCCCTCAGGACCCTGGTATTCTCATTCAGCCCTAAGGTTCCACCGTATCGGCCAGGCTTCAACCCTCCCGCCCCACCTCCGTCCCCCACTCCCCGCCACTGAACACACTCATAAGACTTCCCTTTCTCAGTGTGAATGTGCTTTACGAGATGTTTGGAAAATACCAGTCTAAGGACCTAATCATTTTGAGGGGCTCCTTGTCCCAAAACCACTGAAGTCTGTCATTCTCTACATAGGGGAATTCCAGCCTATGTAAGAACATGAAGCGGGGGAGAATTGCTTTTTAGCAATATTTTGAAGGAAAATGCTTTTCTTTTTTTTTTTTTTGATGTGGACTTTTTTTTTTTTTAAAGGGCTTCCTTGGTGGCTCAGATGGTAGATGGTAAAGAATCTGCCTGTTACAGGAGACCCAAGTTTGATCCCTGGGTCAAGAAGATCCCCTGGAGAAAGAAATGGCTACATATTCCAGTGTTCTTGCCTGGAGAAGTCCATGGCTAGAGGAGCCTGGTGGGCTACAGTCCACTGGTCGCAGAGAGTCAGACAGGACTAAGTGACTAACACTTTCAGTTCTCTTTCATTTTTTGAAAGTCTTTATTGAATTTGTTACACATTGCTTCTGTTTTATATTTTGGTTTTTTGGCCGTGAGGCATGTGGGATCTTAGTTCCCTGACCAGGGATCAAACTGGCATCCCCTGCATTCAAAGGCAAGTCTCAACCACTGCATCACCAGGGAAGTCCTGGAAGACCCTTTCTTTAGGGTTCATCCCCTCTGCTGAGCTCCACTAGGCAGTCCTTGGGGTGTACTGATCTGACATTTCCCTACCCTCCCTTAGTAGCAAAAACCTAACCTCTAGCTGGCCCCCAACATATGCTTCTAGACTGAATCAAGTAGGTTTTTTTGATTATTTTTATTTTGTTTTCCCAGGGCCAGGCATGGGTGGAGCAGAGGGCTGGCTCTGTGTGAAAGGAGGCTGGGGGAGAAGTGAAGTTGAGGCTAGGACTACCCATGACCTTGTTCACAGATCCCTTGTTGAGATGATCCAGCAGGTGCCAAAGTCCCCGGAGGATGGGCACAACTACGATGTTAGTAAATGAACGTGATGACATAGCTTTTGTTGTTTAGAATTGGGAAGGTTTTAAGGTGGGAAAAGTAGGGGAAGTTGTTGGCTAGGCTGGCAGAGTTTGCAACACTGTATGATTTTAAGGTGGACTCCCTGTTGAAGAGTGCCATATCTAAGAAGGAGATATACGTACAGGTTTGCCAGCCTTGCTGGAACAACGTGGGCTTCTGTCTGGATTCGCTCTCCCTACCGTCGTGGATGAGTAAGCTCTGTTCAGGGGAGGGATGCTTGGCCTCCATGCTGACCCGAAGCCTCTCCAGACCACAAACAGCCAGGTACTCAGTGGGGAGGGTGTTGGTACTGCATAGGGAAAGCTTCAGGTCCCGGACCAGCGTGAAGTTCAGCAGAAGCCCCAGTGCAGACGTGTCTGTGAACCAGATGGTCAGATGGTCACTGTAGCTCGTTTGCTCGATGGCAAGAGGCAGCATGGTTTTACAGCTGCACATTAGGTTGGCCAAACTGTAGTCACAGTCCCGGATGTCTGCTGAGCAGATGCACTTCCGAATGGTGTTTTCCTTGGTGAAAATGAGCGTGCCGTTCCTCTGAGCCCTGGTGAAGCAGTCAAGTGCAAAGACGCCCAGCACGCTGATCAGAAAGAAGCTGTGCCCAGAAGGAGGTGCCATTCTCGTCTCAGCATGGGCCGGCCAGGTTCCCCTTCATAAGCCAATTCATCGAAACTCACCTGAAAGAAAATACGCAGTTTTGTTATCACAGCCTCTCCTTAGAAATGAGCAGCTTCTGGGAAAAAAAGGAACCCCTGAAATAACACGTCGTAAAATTTCTCACTTGCAGTTCCAGCAAAGGCAGGTGATGCTAGGAGCCCAAGCTCAGGGCATGCTCTTTTCTAAGAGCCTGGGGTGGAGGTGGAGGGAGGGCAACAACCAGGCCCCTGAAATCTGAAAAAGTGAGCTGGAAAACTCACGGTGGTGTCTGTTGGTGGTGAGACAAACACGCCAACAAGCAAGCAAAGAGCAGTTCCCGGGAAAGGAGACTTACTGCATCCTGTCTGTGGACGGAGAACTGGAGTGACTGGAGGCTACACATCCTCCAAACATCCCGTTATCGGTACAGAATGTCTGTCTTACCCACTTAAGCACACACATTCCCTCCTCCCCTTCAATATCTGACTTCCTGGAATTCAGGAGACAAACGGTTTCTTGTTGGAATCAACTACCCACGTGCTATCTGTTAACACAGCATGCATACCGATGATGAAACAGTTAATGGAAAACTTCAATTTCTAACTAGACAAACATGCTCCCCTCCCTCTCATCAATCTGTTTATATGACTGTTCATATTTTCCTGGTCTCCGAGACCAGGATTGTAGTCCACATTAACTGTGTCACTAGACAAGAAAAAGACCCATTGCACAGCAATTCATCACAGGGGTCTTGATTTACCGACTCCTTTCCCCCAAACAAACCTTATCAATTGATTTTTAAAACTTTTTTATTTTTCAGTTGGTTGCACTGAGTCTTTGCTGCCTTGTCGGCTTTCTCTAGTTGTGGCTGGTGGCGGATACTCCTCCCAGTGCTCAGGCGTCTTGTTGCCATGGCTTCACTAGCCAAGCACAGGCTTGAGTTCGCAGGCTCAGTAGTTGCGGCACGTGGGTTTGGTTGCTCAGCGGCATGTGGGCTCTTCCCAGACCAGGGATCAAACCCATGTCCCTTGCATTTGCAGGTGATTCCTATCCACTGTACCCCTAGGGAAGTCCTATGAACTGATTTCTCCAAAATGTGAAACACTATGTAAACACTGTTAAATGATCTACATAAGGTAGGAATGCATGCTGAATTGAAAGAGCAACCCTGATGTCCAATTTGGGTGAAAATGCCCTACGGGTGCCTGGCGTTGAATTGATGTGTGTGTGGTCTTCTTTTATAGTGTGATTGAAATGACACATTGTGAACTAGGACACCAGATTTCAGTTTTTCAAAAATAAGTAAATTTCCTCTGACTTAGCTGATGACCAAAGAGAGAAAACAGTATAATTCAGTGCATATATACATATGGCGGTGGGCACAGCCAGAGGCTGGGAATGAGACCTCTGAACAGGATCTGGTGACGGCTCCCGCAGGAAGAGTGCTAAGGAGACACTGATGGAGAGTCAGTGTCCGGGGTGGGGGGGGGGTGGTTAAACATGTGTCCAGAGAAGATGGTGACAACAGGAAAGGAGCGAGGCTGACCCGCACCCTTTAGGGAGCGAGATGAGGCTACAGGAAGGCAGCGCAGGTCAATGTGAAATCCAAGGGGGACAGAGCTAGAAATGCCAGGGCAGGTTCACAGGCAGCAAAGTCCATCAGCAGGAGCTGGAATGAGGGTGAGGAGGTAACAGATAGTCTCAGCCAAGTAAACCTGAACCGGAGGCGAGACACTGGTTCACAGCAGTCATGATGTCATCCACCCGTCCATCTGACAAATGCTCACGGGAGTTTCCCAGGTGGCAGGCACTTTGCTAGCCCTGGAGATACAGCGCAGAATGAGAAAATGAGCAAAGAGTTCTATGGGACTTGATTCTGCTTCCAGTGCCCAAGGTGGGCCAGGCCTGCATGTGAGGACCAGAGGATAGGAAAGGGAAGGAGGCAAAGGAAGGGGTCAGGTAAGGCCAAGCAGAAGATGCAAAAAGAAGCATGACCGGGGTCCTGCCCCCAAGGGCTCCGATGTAAAAGAGGAAGACAAAGAAGGCTGAGCTGAGGAAGTCACTCCTTGGAAGGAAAGTTATGACCAACCTAGTCAGTCAGTCAGTGAAGTTACTCAGTCATGTCCGACTCTTTGCAATCCCGTGAACTGTAGCCTACCAGCCTCCTCCATCCATGGAATTTTCCAGGCAAGAGTACTGGAGTGGTTGCCATTTCCTTCTCCATGGGATCTTCCCAACCTGGGGTCAACTGAGGTATCAGGGAAGCTAGTAGACAGCATATTAAAAAGCAGAGACATTACTTTGTCACCAAAGGTCTGTCTAGTCAAAGTTATGGTTTTTCCAGTGGTCATGTATGGACGTGAGAGTTGGACTATAAAGAAAGCTGAGCACAGAAGAATTGATGCTTTTGAACTGTGGAGTTGGAGAAGACTCTTGAGACTCCCTTGGACTGAAAGGAGATCCAACCAGTCCATCCTAAAGGAGATCAGTCCTGGGTGTTCAGTGCAAGGACTGATGCTGAAGCTGAAGCTCCAATACTTTGGCCACCTGATGGGAAGAGCTGACTCATTTGAAAAGACCCTGATGCTGGGAAAGATTGAGGGCAGGAAGAAAGGGAACGACAAAGGATGAGATGGTTGGATAGCACCACTGACTCAATGGACATGGGTTTGGGTGGACTCCGGGAGTTAGTGATGGACAGGGAGGCCTGGCATGCTGCAGTCCATGGGGTCGCAAAGAGTCGGACACGACTGAGCTACTGAACTGAACTCCTGAAGATACACATAGATGTAGGATCATAGCAGACAGGCAAGCTAAGAGTCCATTCAGGAAACCAGATAAGACATTTGATAGTGCTTTGTGTTTATTTTGAAGTTGGCACAGAGTTTGAGTCTTACTTTTTTAAAAGTATAAGAGTGTTTTTCTCGTTTCTAAAAGTGGATTTTTCAAACATTTTTTAAAATTAACTTTGACTGGACTTTATTTGCAATGTTGGGTTAGTTTCTGCTGTATAGAAACGTGACTCAGTCATGCTCGTGCATGTATCCACTCTTGTTTAGATTCTATTCCCATATAGGTCACTACAGAGTGCTGGGAAGCGTTCCCTGTGCTATAAAGTAGGTCCTTATTAACTACATGTTACATATGTAATAGTGTATAAATGTCAATCCCAATATCCCAAATTATGCCCCCCTCACGCCTTAGTCATCATGTTTGTTTTGTACATCTGTGACTCTATTTCTGCTTTGTAAATGGGTTCGTTTATACCTTTTTTTTTTAGATTCCACATATAAACGATATCATATATTTGTCTTTCTCTAACTTACTTCACTCAGCACACCATTCTCTGAAAGTAAGTGAAAGTCACTCAGTCGTGTCTGACTCTTTGCTACCCATGGACTGTACAGTCCATGGAATTCTCCAGGCCAGAATGCTAGAATGGGTAGCCTTTCCCTTCTCCAGGGGATCTTCCCAACACAAGGATTGAGCCCAGGTCGCCCTCATTGCAGGTAGATTCTTTACCAGCTTAGCCACCAGGGAAGCCCAAGAGTACTGGAGTGGGTAGCCTATCCCTTCTCCTGCAGATCTTCCTGACCCAGGAATCAAACCAGGATCTCCTGAATTGCAGGCGGATTCTTTACCAGCTGAGCCACCAGGGAAGCCCCACACCAGTCTTTAGGGCCATCCATGTTGCTGCAAATGGCATTATTCATTCTTTTTTATGGCTGAGTAATATGTTTAATACACAGATTCAACATACTCTTGTCAACTGTGTCCCTTCTGCCATTTTAACTTGTGGATCTTCAGACTCTCCTTGTGTGCATGCACCTTACACATGCATCCATATCAGAGTATGTTGTTTTACTGCAAGTTCTCAGACCTGTTTTCTGCCTGTTTACATCATCTCAATTCAGTTCATTTCAGTCTCTCAGTCATGTCCGACTCTTTGGGACCCCATGAATCGCAGCCTGAGTAGTATCTATATTTCACATGGTTTTCTTAAAGGATTTATTCATTAGTTCATTTTGTAGCAAAAGAAAGAGTTTGAGCAATGTGTAGAGCCACAATTCTCCCTGAACAAGAGGCTTAACGGTTTTAAACTGTGTTGCAATGTGATGGTAAGTACCCCACTTAGTAAGGAACAGTGCATAATTTATTAATTACAAGACAATTTTAGATGATTATCTGTCCCAAATTCCACTGCAGGTTTCTAGGACTTCATGTTCCAGAAACCCCGTCATCCCTAGACTAGGAATGCTGACGCCAGTACCACTGGCCTGCTTTGCTCCCAGCCTTGGAGGGAAAGGAAGGGAGAGGCATCTATCCATCAGCTGAAACCTGGTGACAAAGTATCGACATCATTCTTTTAAGTGTTGATACTGATCAGAGGCACTGGTGGAAAAAGACAGGGCTAAGAACTGACTGATTTGACAAGTCCCTGATGCTGGGAAAGATTGAAGGCTGGAGGAGAAGGGGACAACAGAGGATGAGATGGTTGGATGGCATCATCAACTTGATGGACATGAGTTTGAGTAAACTCCGGGAGTTGGTGACGGACAGGGAGGCCTGGTGTGCTGCAGTCCATGGGGTCGCAGAGTCAGACACAACTGAGTGACTGAACTGAACTGAACTGAAGACAGGAGAAGAATATGGATTTCCCGGAAGGAGTTGGGCTGGAGATCCCCAAAGGGGTTTGTGAGCAACTTCCCAGCAGTCAAGGACCTGGCCGGGCCTCAGCGGGGGCCCTGCCTTCTGGAGGTCAGGGAACTTGAAGGCCAGACCAAGGAGGCCAGAGGCATGGGGCCTCATGAAGGGGCACAGAGTGAGCCAAGTGTCCCTGGTAACGGGTTTACGTGGATTCCTCAAAGATGCTATGTGGACATTGTTCTCCTTCAGTCTTACTGTGGGTTTCTTTCTTTAGGTTTCTTGGCTGTGGATTGTGAGCACCTGACTTTCACTGTGTATTATTATCTATTTGTGCA